GTCTCGAACTCCTGACCTCGGGCAATCTGCCTGCCTTGGCCACTCAAAGTGCTGGGATTACAAGCATGAGCCACCGCGCGCCCAGCCAGCCAAGTCCAGTTATTTGGTCTCCCTCCCCAACTCGTTCCACATGGCTATGTGGAAGAGGGAAAATACCTGAACAATATCAGAGTCCTCTTGGAAAGGAGAAAGGAGAAAGGCAGATAAATTGTTAGTGACTAGAATACAAAGTGTCATCTGTACCAGGTGGTTCATATATTTTCCATAGCATCTGAAATTTGAGCAACTTGATTTAAGGGAGTTATAACTCAAGTTAGCTTTACTGAGCACATACGTAATAGGTGCTCAAAAAATATGGTAGATGATGGATAGAGTAATAAGATGCAGATTTCTTTTGCATTAACAATCTCTGAAGCTTCTTACATACAATTAATAGTAATTGCTGTCGTTGACATCCAGCAGTTTGTCTTTTTCTTTACATTCACAAAGGTAGGAAACTTCCAGATCTTAGTACTTGATAAAAGACCAGGTGTTTTCATGCATGAACTTCTTCCTAGCATTTCTTGGGAAATGTACGGTTTTTTTTTTGAATTCTGAGAAAAAGTACTCAAGAAGTTTAATAAATGGAAAGCATTATTCTAATTGTCTTATTAGAATTAGTTTTAACAACACAGAAACATTACTGATTTGAAGGAATCTACTTAGGGCAAGTTTAAAGTAAAAACTAGAAATACTGATACCTGGAATCAAAGGTTAAGGTCAACAGTAGCTCCTTGGAAAGAAGTGATTACAAATCAGTCTTCATTATAAATATTACTATTTTATGTGTGTTCATGGCCCTGTTAAGTAAATATTAATGAGTTTACACATGGTATACTTAATAAAAATTGAGTGGTGTTCCAAGAAATAGAATTTGAAGCAAAATCCTTATATTGGCATTTTGTGATTCTGCACAGTACTATAAACCTTCCTGAGTTCTAAATGTTACATTATTCACATACTAGCCAGTAATACCCACATGCAGTCTAGCATTTGAATATTCACTATAGGCCTCAGTTCTTACAAATACTAATTAAATGATTTTTTTTAAAGATAACACATGTAGGCTGGATGCGGTGGATCACAAGGTCAGGAGTTCAAGACCAGCCTGGCCAATATGGTGAAGCCCGTCTCTACTAAAAGTACAAAAAAATTAGCTGGGCATGGTGGCACATGCTTGTAATCCCAGCTACTTGGGAGGCTAAGGCAGGAGAATTGCTTGAACCTGGGAGGTGGAGGTTGCAGTGAGCAGAGATCGCGCCACTGCACTCCAGCCTGGGTGACAGAAGGAGACTCCGTCTCAAAAACAAAAAAAAAAGAAAAGAAAAAAGATACACATGTAATGAATAAAGAGTTTGAAAAATATATTTAATAACTTCTTTTAAAGAATAATGTAGATTTTGGGAATTCCAGAGAATTCCAATTCATTGTGTTTGAATCCTGAAGATTGGTGTTTGTCAGGAATTCAGAAACACTAAGAGATCAAATTTGTGCCTTGAAGTTCAACTCTGTGTGTTTTAGTGTTTTCAGCAACAGTTCCATGAAGGGCCACAAGGTGGAGGTGGTACTTCACAGAACTAGCTAGTTCTGGCCTCTTAATGAAAAGTCTCTTTAGTGGTCTCTGCTCTTTTTCTTTTTCATCTACTTCATTAAATTGTTGTAAACTCTTCACTTTTAGAACAGGAAAATTCTTTTTTTTCTTTGCTGAAGATGGAGACAATTTCTAAATATTTAAGGCAGAAATAATGCTAACCAAACTCTTCTTGAGAACAGAAAAGGAAGAGTGCACCACTGAAGCCATGTGGGGCCACAGTTGCCTTCGTTGGAAGCTTTTTTAACTAAAGCAGATTTTATTTCTTTAAAAGTTAAAATACCCATCTATTTTTCCTTGGTAAGCTTTGGTAGTTTATAGCAATGAAAGAATTTGCTCATTTCACCTGTTTTTGGTTTCATGAGCATACAGTTATTTATAGTATTTTATTATATTTTACTGTTCATAGAATCTGTAGTTGATGTCCTCTTTCATTCCTGATATTGGAAATTTTGTTTGCTCTTTTTTTTGTTAGTGAATCTACCTAGAGGCTTTTTTAACTTTACTGATCTTTTCAAAGAAACACCATTTTGTTTCATTGTGGCTTTTTTGTTTTTCTGCTGTTTTTATTTTATTTTTTATTATTTCCTTCCTTTTACTTGCTTTGGGTTTAATTTCCTTTTTCTAATTTCTTAAAGTAGTAGTTTAGATTATTGATTTGAGATATTTTCTTTTCTAATATAAACACTTAATGGCATACTTTTCATTTTAAGCACTGCTATAGTCACATCCCACAAATTTTGGTATATTTTTATTTAATTCAGAATGTTTTTTATAATTCTACAAAATTTTCATCTTTTTTCCTTTTTTTTCTTTTTAATTATACTTCAAGTTCTAACTTTTTTCCTGTTATCTGTTGTCTCTTCTTTGTTATTTTTGCTATCTCTACGGCACTATTTGACACAATTTAGACCAGTCCCTTTATCCCCTTGTTTCTTAATTCTTCCTTCCTTCCTCTGTCCCTCAGGGTATTGTGTTCTGTTGCCCAGGCTGGAGTACAATGGTACAATCACAGCTCACTGCAGCCTTGAACTCCTGGGCTCGAGTGGGCCTCCCTCCTCAGCCTCCCTGGAAACTAGGACAATCACAGGTACGCACTACTGTGTGCCTGGCTAATTTTTAATTTTCTTTTTTTTTTCTTTTTTTTTTTTTTGTTAGAGTTGGGGCTTTGCTAAGTTGCCCAGGCTAGTCTCAAACTCCTGGGCTCAAGTGATCCTCCTGCCTCAGCCTTTCAAGTAGCTGGGACTACAAGCATGTGCCACCAGGCCTGGCTGATGAGCATTTTATCTGGCTTTAAAGCCCTTAAATCCAAACATCTGTGTCATCTCATCATTGATGTTTGTTGGCTGTCTTTTCCTGGTTTTTCATATGCTGAGTAATTTGGGGTTGTATCCTGGACATTTTCATTAGGACTTTTTTTTTTTTTTTTTTTAAATAAGACTCTGGGTCTTATATTAATCTGCCAGTTTTGTTGTCATTCAAATTCAGACTTCATCAGTATGCCTGTTTCTATTTACTTTTCAAAGTAAATAACTATGAATATCCTTAAATAACTGTGCTACCCATCTCTCCAGGTTTTATTGCTACTTTCAGTGGGAAAGATAGAGTGGAATGTGCTTACTCCATTGTACCTAGAACCTTCCTTCCAGAGAGGATTTTACTTTTGCTTTATTCAAATAACACTAGCTCCTGAACAATTTTTATGTCAATTTCTTGAAATTTGAACCTCAACCTTAAATCCCAAACCTAAATTAGGCACGTAAATCTTACTTTGAATTTTGAGGTAAGACTTTTTTCCCCCTCTTCAGAGCCCAGTAGAAACAGACAAAATTCCTTACTGTTTTCCTATGCCAGTAGGCAGACATTTTTCTGGTCTGTTCTTTAATAGAAATTTTAGCATTGGCCAAGCATGGTGGCTCATTCCTGTAATGCCACCATTTTAGGAGGCCAAAGCAGGTGGGTCACTTTAGCTCAGGAGTTGAAGACCAGTCTGGGCAACATGGCAAAATCCCATCTCTACTAAAAAATTACAAAAATTAGCCAGGTGTGATGGCACAGACCTGTTGGGAGGCTTAGGTGGGAGGATCACCTGAGCCCTGGGAGGTTAAGGCTGCAGTGAGCCATGGTTGCACCACTGTTATCCAGCCTGGGTAACAGAGTGAGACCCTGTCTCAAGAAAACAAAAATTTTAACATTATGCAGGGGGTGGAGTTTTAGTCTCACTTTCAATTCCCTTTCTGTAGGGGGTTCATTTTTCTATCCCAAGGCAGTGTTTAAAAATCCTCATATGAAACTCTCCAGGGCAACCGTGGGCCCTGATCCACTAATGAAAGTTCCTTATCCTTCTTTGTTTCTGACACTTGGGGATTTCCTTTCTGCCTTTTAATGTGCTTATTCATTAAAATAATGTTTTACATTTATATTTTATCTGGCTATTTGTAAGGATTTGTAGCAGAAAGATTTTCAGGTTTTCTTGATTGCTATCTTGCTGAAACAAATACTTTTTATAGAATTGTTCTTTTAAAAATCAACTGATGTGGCCAGGCACAGTGGCCTGTAATCCCAGCATTTTAAGAGGCTGAAGTGGGAGGATCTCTTCTCAAGTCAGGAGTTCGAGACCAGCCTGGGCAACATATTATAGCAAGACCCTATCCCTCTAAAAAATGTTTAAATTAGCAGGGCATGCCCTGCTATGTACATGCATGACACAGGTATGTGTCGTGTACCTGTGGACCTATCTACTTGGGAGGCTAAGGCAGGAGTATCCCTTGAGTTCAGGAGTTTGAGGCTGCAGTGAGCTATGATCAGGCCACTGCAGCCCAGCCTACGGTAACAGAGCGAGACCCTGTCTCTCAAAAAATGAAAATAAATAAAAATCAACCGGCATACACAAAAAAATTAGATGCCCAATTAATACAAACTAATTTATTATTAGAACTGCCAGAATTTCTAATATTCATCTAACATGTGGATTTGTATAACACATTTATATTTATGTTTTAGGCTAGGGACTATAATTATGTCTATAATGAATCAGGATTAAAAGAGTTCCTGTTATCTCTTGTGACTGAAAAAATAAACAGTGTTTGATTTGGGAAAAAAAATATTATCAGTATAATGAAATTAATGCTGGTTTCAAATGATAACTTTCAGGTACTATGGAAAGGGCAATTTTAAACTTTGAGAACAAAAATAAAACCACCGCTCTAAATAGCTAAAGAGAATCGAGGTTTGTGTGGTTACTTTTGTCTTTGTTTTGTTGTGTTTAGTTTGTTGAATTCTTGGCATTCCATGTAAAATTCAATAGGAATCTCAGTTTAGTAGTTAAGGAGATTTCTGTTTCCTTTCACTTACGGTGGTTTCTTTTCAGAAACATGTTCTCCTTCCTTCCTGCCAGGAATGAGTAGCGACAGTGACATTGAATGTGACACTGAGAATGAGGAGCAGGAAGAGCACACCGGCGTGGGCGGGTTTCACGACTCTTTCATGGCCATGACACAGCCCCCGGATGAAGGTGCAGCACATGATGTCATTTTACACAGATTAATAAAACCGCCGCTGCTGCTTCTCTTTCTTCTGCTGCTGCTACTTCTACTTCTTCCGCTCTGCTGCTTTTGCTTCTTCTACTTCTACTTCTTTTTTTTTTTTTTTTTAAATTATTGTCATTTATGAGACAACATTGTTTGGTAAACTATTATGGTGAGTACTGAAAAAACACAACTGGTAATATTTGGCTGAGTTGCACCTGATGAGTGCTACTTACTGGGTAGAGAAGGGGTCCACAACCTGCTTTTGTGTAGTCTGTAACCTGAGAATGGTTTTTACTTTGTAAAGAGTCTTAAAAAAACAAGCAAAAGAAAGAAGAGTTTTGTGTTTTTTTTGCCCTGAGACAGAGTCTTGTTTTGTTGCCAGGCTATAGTGCCGTGGCATGATCTTGGCTCACTGCAACCTCCGCCTCCTGGGTTCAAGTGATTCTCCTGCCTCAGCCTCCCAAGTAGCTGGGATTATAGGCACACACCACCATGCCTGGCTAATTTTTTTGTATTTTTAATAGAGATGGAGTTTCACCATCTTGGCCAGGCTGGTCTCAAACTCCTGACCTCATGAACCATTTGCCTTGGCCTCCCAAAGTGCTGATATTACAGGCATGAGCCACCACACCCGGCCCAAAGAAGAATTTTCAATAGAGTCCGTTTGTGGTCTACAATGCCTAAATATTTACTATCTTCCCTTCACAGGAAATGATTGCCAACCCTGGGGAGATTTCAGATGTTTGGATTTTTTTCCTTTTCAGAGATTTTTCTAGCCTACTGTAGGATAACTTTAACCTTTTAAAACAAAAATAACTTAGAAATACATGCAGATTGTGAAATCAATTTTTATTCCCTCCTACCTCCAAAAAAGTTATTAGGAAAAAACTCAACAAGAGAAACCTAATGTTAATATTTTACCTTGTTTTCTTCTGTTCTTATTTGCATTTCTTCTTCTTTTTTTTTTTTAGATAGAGTCTTGCTTTGTCTCCCAGGCTGAAGTGCAGTGGCACGATCTTAACTCACTGCAACTTCTGCCTCCCAGGTTCAAGCAATTCTCCCACCTCAGCCTCCTGAGTAGCTGGGACTACAGGCACGTGCTACGACATCCAGCTAGTTTTTGTAATTTTTAGTAGAGACAGGGTTTTGCCATGTTGGCCAGCCTGGTCTCGAACTCCTGACCTCAGGTGATCTGCCCACCTCGGCCTCCCAAAGTGCTGGGGTTACAGGTGTGAACTACTGTGCCAGCCCTACCTAAATATTTTATAAATAGTGTTGTATTCTGCTTTTTTCACTTAAATATATTTGTATGTTATTTAAAATTTCATAAACTTCATTTTTTATGGCAACCTAATATTCTGTCATGTGGATATACCATACGCATTCTGCTGTGAAGCAGTTTTCTGGAATACAGATTAATCAAGAAAAGGATATACTGTCAAGTTAGAGAAATACACATTTAAAGTTACCTAGAGGCCTTAATAATCAATCTGAGCATTCCTCTGCAAGATATCCTGGAGTGACAACATTGTCAAGCCTTTGCTAATTGTCTGCTTTATATTTTACATATTTTCCTGGTGTTCTGGTATCTTTTTCAATACGGAACCAAGCATTTGGAATATGTTTTAATACAGAATATGTTTGGAATATGTTTCAATACAGAACCAGTTATTTGGAGTGCTGATGGTTTTGTAGTGATATTTGCATGCATAGTTTAATTGGCTTTGAAATATGTTTTATGTTTATAAGGTCTTGAATCTTGAGAATATACATCATTGCTTCTTGTTCCCTTCTTAAACTCCCCAGATTGTCCCCAGGAGGACAAAATGAGACAATTCCTGTCATCTTTTAATTGTGGGTCTATTACACATTTTGTTTTTTCTCCTTTATTTTTCCTTTGTGTTTGATTATACCTGACTCAGATCACAAATTCTCTGAAGACAGAGATTTGTTCACAACTCAGCACATCTTTATCGCTTAAATAACGTTATTTGGTAAGATCGTTTAAAGACTTGAGAAGGAAAATACTCCCCTTGTTATATTATATGCTTTTAGATTTAAAATGGTTTCTTTATCTATTTTTCAATCATAGATACACATTCCAGTTTTCCTGATGGTGAACAAATAGGCCCTGAAGATCTCAGCTTCAATCCAGATGAAAACAGTGGAAGGTAATTGCCAAATCAAGAGAACTGACTTGCAAGCTACCTTGACCCTGAATTTTGCTGTAGTTGGTGCTCAAATTTGTCATCAGTCAGATAATCAGATTTGGTCTTATTTTTTCATTATCTCGACCTGAAATAGTAGTTTGGAAACTGTTGGAAGGTGGCACAGTTTAGTCTAAGACAGCAGTAGCACATGGCAAAAACAGTATGGGAAAAGTTCTTTGTAATATGAGGAAATAGCAATGTAGTTCTCTATTAATTTAGCAAATTTGTACATTCACAAAAGGCAGTTTGTCTATTACAGCAGAAGGCTGATTAACTGCCAGAAAATGTACCTCTAGGCCCTGCATGCCGTCAGTAACCTGCCTGGCACTGGTGCTCTTCTGTCTTTGGCTAGAGCTTAGTTGTGTTTAAATAATCACCTTTATATTTGGGGTTTTAATTACAGTTTAATTACAGTTCCATTAGTTCCTATAGATTAGTGAACAGAACAGTTGCTTATGAAGAGATTCTGCCCTGTAGACACTTTATGTGAATAACCGAAGTAACACTAGACTGAATCTCCTTTTTGGAGTGTGTATCTTCTCTCACTTGTTCAGGCACAGGCACACTGTTTAATGGCATGGAATCTTTCTGTTGTGTGACTTCTGCACATGTAATTTTAAATGAATTAAGTTCACCTGGATTCGTTAACGTTCCTGGACCTGTAGACACATGTAAGATTATTTAAAATCCTTTCATTTTTTCTGCCTCTTACCATACGACTATAGTGCAGCAAATATTTTAAAGCCGCCTTCTTTATTTTCATTAGTTGTACATTGATTTCAGTGTCAGCACCTTTAAAGACTCATTCATGTTGCACAGTGGCTTACATGAATGTGAAACTGTGGTATAAGGTTTTCTTTCATACTCATAATTAGCCCAAAACAGTTGCCACACTTTGCCATTGTGCTCCTGCATTTGTGTTTGAGTTGCTATATATTTGTGAAAATTACACTGAAAGTTGACTAAGAGACTATTGAAAAAGCATGAATAATTAAATATACATGTGGGCAACATCTCATCTGCTGTATTTTACTTAGTGAATATTGTTCACTATTCCGTGTCTTATGTCTTGCTGAATGCTGTGACTCATAGTTTACTTTTGTTCAAAATAGTTTGCACTTTTTGTTAATAAAATCAACTTGAGAAAATATGCCTCTGCTATTTATTAAATTGGGACCAGAAACCCCTTTTTTCTACTCATTGACTGTGGCTGTTTAGTAGTGTAGAGAAGATCCAAACATTTGATTAGTTTGTTTTGTGTTTAGTCTCATGGTGAGGAGTGATGCCTAGCATCCATCCCAGTCATTCTAAAATTAGAATAAACCTGAAAGACCAAAAGGTTTCTTCAGAGATGATAGCTTTTAGTTCAGACCTGTTCGCTTTAGGACAGGACAGTAGTTTCTCCCTCGTTGCCAAGCTGTCTTATATACTAAGGCTGCTCCGAGTTCCTCGGTGATGCCGGGAACACCGCTGTTTCCCCTCTTGCTTGATGTAGTTTGCTGTGCTAACATTTAGGTAGCAGAGAGGGAAGGAAGAGGCACAGGAAAAGAACCAGTTACTCCACTCTCTGCTTGTCCTACTTTTTTGCTCTTTCTGTACCCTGATAGAGCCCTCAGCATGTTTTTTATTTTTATTTTTGTAACCTTTCCTTTTTTGCCAAAGAACTGTCTGCTGTTACCTTGCTTCTGTATTTAGTGTTTTATCTCAAGTTCATTCCTGGAAAATCTCTCCTGAATAGAGTTTTCTCTTAGGGCTAGAGATATATTAATGCTTGTGTTGTCCATGAACATGTCCTTTCTGGACAACTTTAACTACTTGTGTTATTGATCCTTAAGTAACCTTTGAGGTAGATGAGTTGTATATCAAACCTGTTTGGCCGTGGAGCCTGAGGTTCGGGGAGGTTGTATGATTCTCTTAAGGTTCAATACCACTGGCAGGGATGGGGTGAACTGCTGGTCTAGTGCCTTTTCCACTTTATCTTGCTTGCACCAAACCCAACATTCTGATACCAAATAATTTAAAACCTAAAGATTATTCTTTGTTTTTAGCTTTTAATTGTGAGATAATTTTAGATTTGCAAAAGAGTTGCAAAAATTGTACAAGAGTTTCCATATACCCTCTGCCCAGCTTCTCCTTTTGTTAATGCCTTACATAATTACAGAATGGTGATCAAAACTAAGAAGTTAATCCTGGTTATAATATTGTTAACCAAATTACAGAATTTGTTCAGATTCCACCATTATTTCACAAATGTTCTTTTTCTGTTCTAGGATCCAGTCTAGGATCCCACGTTGTATTTTGTTGCCGTGTTTCCTTGGGATCCTTCAGTATGTGACAGCTCCTTCGCCTTTCCTTGCTTTCATGACCTTGATATTTTTGAAGAGGATGTGTTATTTTCTTAAATGTTCTTCTTATTTGGGTTTGTTAGATGCTTTCTTATATTAAATTGAGGTTATGCATTATTGAGAAGGCCCTTCTCAGTGCATCACATCAGGGGGGATATGATGTTGATATATCAATATACATATATATACTTTTTTTTTTTTTTGACGGAGTCTCACTGTGTCACTCAGGCTATAATGCAGTGGCACCAGCTTGGCTCACTGCAGCCTCTGCTTCCCAGGCTCAAGTGATCCTCCCACCTAAGCCTCCTGAGTAGCTGGGACTATAGGTGTCCACCACCACACCTGGCTAATTTTCCTATTTTTTGTGGAGATGGTGTTTCACCATGTTGCCCAGGCTGGTCTCCAACTCCTGAGCTCAAAACGATCCCCCTGCCTCAGCCTCCCAAAGTGCTAGGTTGATTGCAGGCTAGATTGCAGGTGTGCTCCTGGCCTGATGTTGATATGTTGGGTTTTTTTTTTTTTGTTTTTTTGTTTTTTTTGAGATAGGGTCTCACTGTGTTGGCCAGGCTGGAGTGCAGTGGCATGATCTCGACTCACTGCAACCTCTGCCTCCCTGATTCAGTTCATTCTCTTGCCTCAGCCTCCCAAGTAGCTGGAATTACAGGCACGCACCACCACGCCCGGCTAATTTTTGTGTTTTAGTAGAGATGGAGTTTCACCATGTTGGCCAGGCTGGTCTCGAACTCTGACCTCAAGTGATCCACTTGCCTTGGCCTCCCAAAGTGCTAGATTAGAGGCATGAGCCACTGTGCCCAACCCTGATGTTGATATTTTTTATTGGTGAACTAAACGGTGAGATTACTTGGTTAAGGTGGTGTTTGTGAGGATTTCTTTTTTTTTTTTTTGAGACAGAGTCTCGCTCTGTTGCCCAGGCTGGAGTGCAGTGGCCGGATCTCAGCTCACTGCAAGCTCCGCCTCCCGGGTTCACGCCATTCTCCTGCCTCAGCCTCCCGAGTAGCTGGGACTACAGGCGCCCGCCACCACTCCTGGCTAGTTTTTTTTGTATTTTTAGTAGAGATGAGATTTCACCATGTTTGCCAGGATGGTCTCAATCTCCTGACCTTGTGATCCGCCCGCCTTGGCCTCCCAAAGTGCTGGGATTACAGGCGTGAGCCACCGTGCCCAGCCTTTGTGAGGATTTCTTACTATAGATTTACGTTTTTACCCCTTTGTAATTACTAAATATATGGGGCAGATATTTTGAAACTATGCAGATACCTTGTTTCTATTAAACTTTTTTTTTTTTTGGAAGACAGAGTCTGACTTTGTTACCTTTTCTGTGGTGGCGCGATGTCGGCTCACTAAGCCTCAAACCCCTGGGCTTAAGCAATCCTCCCACTTCAGCCTCCTGAGTAGCTGGGACTACAGGCATGCGCAGTCACACCGGGAGAATTTTTGTGTTTTTTGTAGAGATGGGGTTCTTGAGCTCTTGGGCTCAAGCGACCCTCCCGCCTCAGCCTCCCAAAGTGCTATGATACAGGCATGTGCCACTGTGCCCGGTGCCCGGCCAAAACGCTAACTAATTTTAGCACCTAGTAGTTGATCTTGCATAAGGAAATTGTTACTGTAATGTTTTAATGGTAATTTTCTAATTCCTTAATTTCTTCTATGTTTTTTGTTAGAATGCTGTAAGGACAAGTCCTTTCTTCCTCGTTTTTGTAATTTTAGCTACTTATTTATATCAGCTACTTTATATATCTATATATGATGGATATTTATTTTGTTTTTGAGTTAATATTTTGTAGCTTGGCTTGTTCTGGTTTCAGCCATTGGAAACTCTTCCAGATTGGCTCCTGTGCCCTTTTCATATGTCTCATTCTTGTTGTTGTTGTTGTTGTTAAGCATTTCTTTGCTTTCTGACATCACAAGATACCTACCCTAGCCATGGAATTAACCACTTACTGGAGAACCATGGTTCTTATTATTGGAGAATGCTATTTAGAAACAAAGATTTGGATGCCACATATTTATTATTATTAGACTGTCACTGCTTCTAGTCCCACTCAGTGGATACATAGAAAATGTAAATTGGCTGGGTGTAGTGGTGCGCACCTGTGGTCCCGGCTACTTGGGAGGCTGAGGTAGGAGGATCACTTGAGCTTGGGAGGTAGAGATTGCAGTGCGCTTCAGCCCGTGTGACAGAGTGAGACCCTGTCTCAAAAAAGAGAAAATGTATGACTGGGCACAGCAACTCATGCCTCTAACCCCAGTACTTAGGGAGGCCAAGACAGGTGGATCACCTGAGGTCAGGAGTTCAAGACCAGCCTGACCAACATGGAGAAACCCCATCTCTACTAAAAATACAAAATTAGCCAGATGTGGTGGCACACGCCTGTAAACGCAGCTACTCGGGAGGTTGAGACAGAATTGCTTGAACCCGGGAGGTGGAGGTTACGGTAAGCCGAGATCTTGCCATTGCACTTCAGCCTGGGCAACAAGAGCAAAACTCCATCTCAAAAAAGAAAAAAAAAAAGAAAGAAAATGCATATAGACAGCTGTTCCTCAGTATCTGTGAGGAATTGGTTCCAAGACCCTCTGTGGATACCAAAGTCCACAGATGCTTAAGTCCCTTATATAAAATGGCACAGTGTTTGCATATAACCGATGCACATCCTCCTGGATACTTTGTTTTGGTTTTGAGACAGGGTCTCATTCTGTTGCCCAGGCTGGGTTGCAGCTGTGCATAGCTCACTGCAGCAATGAACTCTTGGGCTCAAGCAATCCTCCCACCTCAGCCTGTCAGGTAGCTGGGACTGCAGGTGTGAGCCACCACACCTGATCTCCCAGATACTTTAAATCATCTCTGGATTACCTATAATACCTAATACAATGTAAATAAATACAGTGTAAATTATTGTTGTGCTATTTTTTAAAAAATAAATTCTGTCCATTGTAGGTTGACTCCATGGATGCAGAAAGCAAAGATATAGAGGGCCAACTGTAGATTTACTCATGCAAATACACACATTTATATGTATTTCTGTACATATCTGTGTGTGTGTGTCACTATGACTGTGAGTCTACACTGGTAACAGTTCAACTCCAGAGGCCTCATTCTGGTCTTCCCTCTTATTTAGAATGCCTTTCTCTGACAGGAGCCTAGCTCTCATTAGCTATGATGCATGTATGCACTTGCTCAACCCGAATATACAAGTAGCTTCAGAACCGTTGGCCTCCTGTGGATTCCAGGCTGTGCCCTACAAAAAACAAATTTACCACCTAAAATACAGTGCTTGCATACAGTTCTTTTAGTCTTTAGCTTTTCAGTATCGTGTCATAACATTTTTTTCAAAGATATTTAGGTCCTTAGATTCAAAATTACATTAATTCTTTTCTTTCCCATTCCCTTCATTGTGATATTGTGCCTCGTTGGTGTAACAGTTAGGTTCATCTGTTGTGGTCTACATTCTGTCCTCCCTCACATATCCTGGTTAATTTGTAAATTTACATACATTAAAATTCAGTCTTTCTGGCATACACTTGTGTGGGTTTCAACAAATGTCATGTATTCGCCACCACAATACTATACAGAACATTTCAGTCACCCCCAAAATTCCCCTGTGCTGGCCCTTAACAGGTAACCACCTCCCTCCCCGCAGCTCCTGGCTACCACTGATTTGATCTGATCTGATGTGATCTGTTCTCTGCCCTTTTAGTTTTTGCTTTTCCACAGAGTCATGTAAACGGGATCACAGTTCGGCCTCTTGCTTCGCAAAGTGCAGTTAAGTTTCACTCATCTTGTGTGAATCAGCACTTCATTCTTTTTTATTGCTGAGTAGTAGTAGTCCACTGTGTGGATACACCACTGTTTATTCATTTGCCCATTTGGGTTATTTCTAGTTTGGGATGATTAGACTCTTGTAAACATTTGGGTACAGATTTTTGTGTGAGTGTAAGCTTTTATTCTCTAGTGTTACATGCTGTATTCTGTTTTCATGCTGCTGATAAAGACATACTCGAGACTGGGCATTTTACAAAAGAAAGAGGTTTATTGGACTTACAGTTCCACGTGGCTGGGGAGGCCTCACAATCATGGCAAAAGGTAAAAGGCACATCTCACATGGTGGCGGACAAGAGAGCTTATGCAGGGAAACTCCCCCTTATAAAACCATCAGATCTCATGAGACTTATTCAGTATCATGAGAACAGCACAGGAAAGTCTTGCCCCCATGATTCATTTACCTCCCACTGGGTCCCTCCCACGATACGTGGGAGTTCAAGATGAGATTTGGGTGGGGACACAGCCAAACCATACATGCCTAGGGGTGGGATTGCTGGGTATGTAATAGAGAATGTGGCCTTTGTCCTAGTTCCTGGGAAGTGCCCTCTAAATCCTTGGCATTCCCTAAGTGATAGGAGTTATTTATGGTGGCCCTTGCTAGTTTATGCTTATGAGATGACCCAGGATTGGGGCTGGCTACACCAGAAATTCTGTGGGTGTCATTAGAGAGCTGGGCTCTGAACCATGTGATAGTCCAGTCCGACTCACTGCCAGTGATGGTTACACCTACATAAGGAAGTGCCAGTAAAAATCTGGATACTTACCAGGCGCGGGGGCTCACACCTGTAATCCCAGCACTTCGGGAGGCCAAGGCAGGCGGATTACCTGAGGTCGGGAGTTTGAGACCAACCTGACCAACATGGAGAAACCTCATCTTTACAAAAAATACAAAATTAGCTGGGCGTGGTGGTGCATGCCTGTAATCCCAACTACTTGGGAGACTGAGGCAGAAAAATCACTTGAACGTGGTAGACAGAGGTTGCCGTGAACCGAGATCGTGCCATTGCACTCCAGCCTGGGCAAAAGGAGTGAAACTCCATCTCAAAACAAAACAAAAAAAAAACTGGACACTAAAGCTTGAGTGAGTTTCCCTCTTATTTATACAAGCTACTTGTATATTAGGGTTGAACAAGTACATACA